GAAAGAAGGAAAGAAAGAAAGAGCGAGCGAGTGGGTGAGTCTGTCAGCATATAGCGGCGGACCGGTTGGGAGACGAGCCACCCAGAGTACGACGGGGCCGGCCGGCTGAGTTAGCCTTACAACCTGGATCTGCCAACTGAGTAAGGAAAGTAGTGGGACGTAAAATTCCAAAGACATCTTTTTATATTTTCTCTCTTTTTTTTTTTTTTTTTTATTTTGAAAGACATTTCTGGGAACATTCTTGTTCATGTTTTTCCTAGTGAGATACACCCTTCCCTGTTAGGTGTCTTCCAACTGCTGGGTTGTAAGCTTTGCATATCTTTAACATCAGATTGATAAGAACTTTATTCTAAAATAGTTATACTAATTTACAACTCCACCAATACACCAACAGAATATGAGAATGTTTGTAATTCAGTTTTTCATGAATTATTAAAGTGCCTGCAGGCAGGCGCAGGGGCCCTGCCGGCCCTGCCCCCAGGGCATGCTGAGACTGGGCGTGGTGGCACGCGCCTGTAATCCCAGCTCTTGGGAGGCTGTAAACAGGCAGATCACTATGAGTCTGATCTAGTAGTGACATCCTGAACACCCTGTAGACCCTTCCCCCCCCAAAAAAAACCATGAATATTTGGTGTAGTCAACCAACATATTTATAAAGTTGGGTAAAACTTCTGGGTTTTTTTTTTGTCATTTGGATTCCATATTTTCAAAATTGTTCAATTTTTTGTTTTTATTTTATTCTGCTTTGTTTTGGTGCTGGCTAGAAACCCAGAGTCTCATGGTTACTCAGGCTTTGCTGTCCCGTGGCATTTATATCCAAAACCCTTCATCCTTTTTAAAAGTTTCTTTTGCTGAGAGTGGTGGTGCATACTCCCAACCACTTGGGAGGCTGAGGCAGGAGGATTAAAGCAAGTTAAAAGGAGCCTGGGCTACACAGGCGGTTCAAGGCCAGCCTGAACTATAAAATGAACCTTGTTTAAGAAAACAAAACAAATGTCTTTCAATGTTGATTTCTTTTTAGGTGTTATTATGGTTATATATGCTGTCATCATCTTCCTCTATTACATGATATCTATTCTCTAAATGATATGTCTTAGTAAAGTTCTTAATTAATTTAGTCACATTTATTAGGGTGGTCCTTATGGATATGCCTTTTATTACATTTTAAGATGTGTAAACAAATTTAAGAATAAGGAAAAGAAATGTCCCTGGAGTTGGACATGATGATGTGTGGCTATAATCCCTAAATTCTGGAAGTCTGAGGTAAGAGGATCACACACTTGAGTCCAGGCTGGAGGTCACTTCATGTCTTACTGAGACCCTGTCTCAAAATAAACAGATTTAAAAGGTGGGGTTATAGCTCAGTGTGTAAAGACATGGGTTCAATACCAAGTGCTGCCAAAAAAAAAAAAGTGTCCCTTGGCTGGGGTGTAGCCAGCAGTAGCACACCTGTATAGCACACGTGGGCCCTGGGTTTCATGGGGAAAGTGCTCCTTTTCAGGAAGTGGAAGTCTTTTATGACTTCCCCCGAAGTTGTTTTCTACTTTCACTGGTGATCTGGACTCCACCTAGCACTGAGTTTGGTCACATACGCATATATCTATCAACTATCTTAGCATAATTCTTTAAAAAACCGTTTCAGTGTTCTGCAGAGCTCATGGGTACATGGCTCTATTTCTGAGCTCCTTTTTCAACCTCATTGATCTGCTCGTCTGCTGCACCATAAAACCCTGTCAGGATAGCTTTGAGAGCGACACCAGCAGAATAGATCCTCCCGCACTAGATTTCCTTAGCAAGTGTGGTTTGGTTACTTTGTATCCTTGGAATTGTCATTAAATAATGGAACCTGATGGCCATACTGCCCTTTCTGTCTCTAAATGGAGGGCTTTTTTTTTTTTTAACATTCATATAGTTTTCTTACATAATCCACAGTATGTAGACATTATGCATACTAGTCACTTTTAAAGAATAAGTTTTGAGTGAATAAGTCTGTCTTCTCTTTAGTTTTGTAGCTATGTTTTAGCTAATTTATTTTAAGAAGTTCTTCAATAGTTTAATTTTATTTACTTAAATATATTTTAAGAATAATGTGGAAAAATACTTTATGTCTTGATTTTATTTGTTAAATATTCTTTTTTTCCCCATAGTTTTATTGAGAAACAAATAGCAATGAGACAGTTTCAAATCAAATTGGTAGGACAGTTCCAATAATTAACACAGTGCATACATTCTTCCTAGTGGTTAATTGCTGTACAAGATGCAGACATAATATCCTATTTACAAACACTATTAGAACAAATCCCTCTATTCATTAAGAGAATGTAACTATATATCTATCCTAACCACTTTGAATACACAGATACAAAATGGACATTCATCTGTATCCCCTTTTTTTGTTAAGCTCCGTTCTTTGAATATTATAGGTGTGTAAACTCAGCAAAATATTCTAAAAGAGTTCAGTAGTCCATAATAGTATTGGGTCTTCTGCTTGATTGGCAATCTCAGAAATTGTTGACCTGAGTCCCCTACAGCTCAACATAACACCATGGCTTTACTTCTTATACTTTGTTTTTATACTTTTCTGCTGGATGGTTAAGACCAAGGTAAAGCAGGACAACAATAAGAGTTGTAGCTTTTGGGTCTGAGAAGGTCAGTGAAAATCCCCTCAGGATTTATCCTGAGATCCTGTACCTCAGATTGTAGAACCTTTGTCAGTGTCAGCCATGTGGATGAGTCACAGCCATTGCTTGGCGAATGTGCTCTCTGTGAAAGCCTGAGAGAATGTTTTCTCCCCATGTGACTCTCCTTAGGCACACTCTACATCATCTATCACTTTCCTCTTTGGCCCCATAATCTCCTTGATCAGAAAATTTGGGACACTACCGAGTTACATGACGCAACAGTACAAGTTCTCATATGTTCTGAGTCTTAATTGACCTTCTAAATGGAGTTTTTGTTGAGACTGATTGTATTTCAGTATGGGGATAAGTGACAATCTTACAGTGTGAATTTTCCAATTAATAACTATTGTATATATATAACTACATTTTTTAGGTTCAATTCTTTAATTCTTTAATTTCACCCTATTTTTTAGTTTTCTATGCAGAGAGCTTCCATAGTCTTTTTATTCATAAACAACTGATTTGTTTATTTATTTAGTATTTTAGTACAGAGTCTACAGGGTCTACAGGCTTTCACTACGTAGATCAGAATGTGGTGATCGGCCTGTGTTTAGCCTCCCAAGAGCTAGGATTATAGGTGCATGCCACCACACCCAGTCTCATCTGCCATCTCGGGGTGCCCTGGGGGCGGGGCCAGCACTTGCAGGCCTGGGATTGAACCTCTGGCCCTTGCATCTGCCTAAGTAGATGTTTTAATCCACTGAGCTATTTGGCTGGCCCTTGTTTAAGCACTATTGAAAATTATATTTTTTTGTGTAGTGGGGGCAGAGCACTGGAGGTGGAACTCAGAGCTTCACACTGAGCTACTTTCACAGGTCCCAGCCCTTTTTTATTTTTATTTCTTAAAATTTTGAGACAGGATCTTGCTAAGTGGCCCAGGCTGGGCTCAAATTTGTGACTCTCCTGCCCTAGCCTCCCAGAGGTCTGGGACTACAGGCATATTTCACCACGTTCTGCTAAAGGTGGTATCTTTTAAAGCAGTTATCATTTGGATACGGTGGCCTGCTCCTGCTGCCCCAGCAGAGGGGAGGCAGAGGTGGGACAACAACTTGCAGCTAGGAGTGAAGACCAGCCTGGACAACACAGTGAGACCACCCCCTCAGAAAAAAATGTATTTAAAATAGTTTTGGAGACATAGAGAACGTTCGATGAATATTAGCTATTATGGCTCATGGAACTGAAGGAACATAGTGAAATGCATCGCTTTTTTTTCTCTGGTACAATTAGGTCCTCTCTGGAATGAAACCTGTGACTCGGCTGCTTAGAACCTAAAGAAGGTGATGGTGCTGTGACAATGTAGAGAAGCCATGGCAGAAAATGTGGTTTGTACTGGGGCTGTCCGTGCTGTGAAGGAAGTTTGGGAAAAAAGACTAGAGAAACTCAGTGAAGACCTGAAGCGAGAGAAGCAGTTTCAGCAGAAGTATGCCATTGCGCATTTACTACTTTGAATTAGTAAGAATTCATAATCTGGTCATCATGAAGGGCACCATTATTGAATTTGACATACTTTATTTATTAAAATTCAAAATATATTTAAAGACACTGAGCTCAATTGAATTGCCTAGGTGATGAGTCACAACAGATCTCTACAAGTATCTGCATGTGAGTCGAGTAGCTATTGTATGTCTGTCTGGAGAGCCCCAGGTGCCTAGACATGGCCGTAGCCATCACTCGCGCTTGCTGCTAGCCCAGAGCCGCCCCTCCAGGGAGCTGCACGTGCTTCTTCTGCTAATGTCGCCTCGGCAAATTTCACTAATTTAGGTGACCTATTATTGAGGAGGATTATTGAGGAGGAAGAGGAGCAACAAACACCAGTGGGGAAAGAGCGGTTTCTGTGACACAAAGGTGCTGTTAATTTCTCCATTCTATTTTATTTTTATTTTCAGGGTCTCACTATGCAGCTCGGACTCATAGTGACCCTCCTATTTTCAGCCTCCCCAGTGCTGGGGTTACAGGCGTGTGTCACCACGCCTGGGCTCAGTCTCCCACTCAGTGGGCCCAACGGGTGGTACAGCATGCAGTACAGGGGATCGAAACTCGGTCCCTGTGCTTGCCAAAGCAGGCGCTTAGTCCGCTGAGCTATCTCACCGGCTCTCCACTGAGCTCTCTGCTGACCCAATTTCTTCATTTTAAAGGATAGAAACCTGAGGGACTGGCCTGGTAACTTGTCAAAGGTCGTGTTGCTGATAAATGTTGAGTGGTGTTTGCGCCCTGACCTGACCCAGTAAGCCTCACAGTCACTTTGCGTCTTACGCTTCCCTGGATCGGTCCTCTCGCTTTCTTTTCTCTTATCTTTATAAAGCTAGTCTTAGGAAATGCATTAAGTTTATTGTAGTTATGACAATTTTGACTCTTAAAAGTACTTTTGCATTTTTAGACAGTGACCAGGAATCATAACTTGGTTCTAAGCCCCTGAATTTCACCTGTTAAATGTATCTACTGTTAAAGAAAAAAAATTATCCAAATACTTGCTAAAGATGGTAAAAGGGTTTTATGCAATTTTTCTGACAACCTTTGAAGAAAAAAATCAGAGACCAAGAAATTTATTTTTAAATGAATTTTATTGGTGCACTTTTGATATACATAATGATCATATTCATCGTAGGGAATTTATACCTGTACAAAACAGCTTGATTCTTTTCTCCCATTCCCCTCCCTTCAACCTTTCTTTCCTTCCCTTGTTATAAAAGCTTATTTCCTTTGCTTTCCTTCTGTATTCTCTCCCCTTCCCCTTTCTCTCCCCTCCCTCCCCCTCGCTAGGTTCCTCTCCCCTCTCTTCTCCTCACCTGGTT